CCGCCAAGATCACAGGCTCGTCTGGTGAGGAAACAAGAGAGAGCCTTCTCGGTAGCTGCTCCTGCCCTCTGGAACTCCCTTCCTCGGGACGCTAGGCTGGCCCCCTCTCTGATGGCCTTTCGCAGGCAAGTAAAAACATTTTTATGCAGGCTGATATTTTGTATATAATGCATAGCAGGGTGGTTTTTAGGGAGCAGGTGGGTTTTTAGTTTGTTTTTAACTTTTGTATATTTTATGTGATCTTATACTGGATGTAGATGTTTTAATTGTTTTAAATTTTATTGGGATTTTTAATGTTTTTAAATAAATAAATAAATAAATAAATGTGCTCAGACCTACAAAGAGCTGGTGCCGCTACTTTTCCTTTTCACACACATAGCATTCCTTGATTGGTTGCAGAGATACTTCAAAATAAATAATTATCTATAACCTTTTCACTAATTCATCTTCCACTTCTAGAAACATCCCGACTCCAACTGAAGAACAAAGGATGAGTCTGTGTGTGGTTGAGAGCCTGAGGAGAGAGGATGAATGGTAGGGGAACAAAACTCCTTTTGTCATTCATTTTGCAGAACACCACATTTCTGATTTGCTTATATAATTTCTGTCGCCCCCAAGTGGTGGCATGGAGAACTCACAGATGCTTTACAAAGTAACCTAAACTGACATTTTTCCAAAGAAGTTGCCTTGTTAGTCTTTTGCAGCATAAAGAGGAGGAAGGGAGGGGAACGAAAAAAAGAAAGGTGGCAGCACCCTTAAAATTAACTGATTTTTATTTTAGTGTGAACTTTCATGGACATAAACTCACTTCTTCAGAAACAATACTGAGTAGCATTAAGACCTCAGGTATAACACATATTTATATAGTTGTTGGAATGGGATAGAATGTAATAGGATCCTGAAAGATGCAAATCTTGTCAATTGCCCCAGTGGTGTACCTTCCTTTGATGACATCTGGTGTGTGTGTAAGGGGGCTACCAGGGAGCAGGACTTCCGGCCCTGGACTTCCAGTGTGGTTAGTGCCCCGTGGTCCTAAGCAGCACCCATCCAGGGCTGGGGAGACCCAGCATGGCCCCTAGAGCACCCAGGTGGAGCAAAGGAGCACCCTCATGGGGCTGAGGAGACCCCTAGTGCCCCTGGGCAAGGCCAAGGAGCACCTGCACGGGGCTGGGGAAACCTGGCGTGGTCCTGGAGAGCTCCCACAAGGGGCATAGCAGCACTGGCATGGTTGAAAAGTCAGCCACTTGTCACACCCCCTTCTGGGGTGTTGCCCAGTGTGACCTGCAACCCCCCCCCCCCGACGCTACTGTCATGCCCTAAATTTTCAAAATGCCAGGTGAGGTGATACTGATCTTTCAGATGTTTACAACAATCAGTTAGTGTTGTTGTGTGAAAGCAATAAATCTACTTACCAAAAGACGATTTCCCTCTTTCTAAGATTCCTTCTGTTATATGTACAGTAGCAAGCTCTCTTGTATTGATATATGTAGTGTATCATGAAGCTATTTTCTTCATTCATACCTCTGCTAATGGACTGGAATTTGTGAATACAATTCAATTCAGGTGTTTCTTTTTCTAATCTTCCTTTGCAATTACGAGCAGAGAGATGGAGTAGTCATGGAAAGCCCTCTGAGCCCCATGACAGCAAATTTTTACATGGAGCCTTTGAAAAGCAAGCCCTGGAAACAGCACCAAAAAAGCTCACAACATGGTTTCAAAATGTGGATGACACTTTCACGGAGTCACGGAGAAGAAGATCTGACTGTGTTTTTGAACCATCTGAACAACATCCACTCCAACATCTAATTCACTTTGGAAAAGGAAAAGGAAGGAATATTACTGTACTTGGATGTCCTGGTCATCCACAAACCAAACCAACAATTAGGCCACATGGTATACAGAAAACCTACACAAACGGACAGATACCTACACAAGAACTCCAACCATCACCTGGGACAAAAAAGGAGCACAATTAAAACACTGGTAGACTGTGCAAAAAAGATCTGCAAACCCCAGTTCCTGGAAGATTAATTGAAGCACCTAAACTGAGCTCTATGCCAGCTTAGGCATCAGAAGGGCTGCCAGACCCAGAAAAAACTACAGGAGTGAAGAAAAACAACCACCCAAAGGGAGGGTATTTTTTAACCATACATCAAAGGACTCAAGGACAAAATAGGTAAACTGATGAGGTAACACAACCTCCAAATGACCAACCAAGAAAATCCAGCAAATGCTGCACTCAGCGAAGGACAGGAGAGATCCTCTCACGGCTGCAGGAGTTTACTGCATACCGTGCAGCTGTGGGCAGGTCTATATAGGGACCACTAAACACAGTGTCCAAACATAAATCAAAATACATGAGAGACACGGCAGACTGGGTCAGCCAAAAAAATCAGCAGTAGTAGAACATGTTATAAACCAACCTGGGCATAAAATGCTATTTGAAAACATTGAAATGCTGGACCATGCCAACAACTAGCGGGTCAGAATCCACAAACACCTGGACAACTTCAACAGAAAAGAAGAAACCCTGAAGGTAATAATAATAATAATAATAAAATTTATTTATATACCGCCCAATGGTTGCCCAATCAGGGCGGTTTACAACATAAAACACAATTGAACAAACACAAGGTGAACAAAGTTTGGCTTCCAGTCAAACACCAAAATCAACACCAGAACACCAGAAAAACACCAAAATCAAGACTCATCACATGCAAATGAACATCACTCAGGGTCAAGGGATTTCCTCGCAGACAATGGATTGCTAATTAAATAGATACACATATCCTCCTGCATATACTTCTACGTTGAGACCTTGCCACCCAACAACAGACCAATAGATTGCCATGTAAATCACTTCCTCCCAAACAAGGGTCACACAGTATATATATATATATATATACTCCATTCACTTCCATGCCACCACAGTCTGAAGATGCCAGCCACAGATGCATGCGAAACATCGGGAATAAAACCTTCCAGAACATGGCCACATAGCCCAGAAAACCCACAGAAAACTATACATAATGATGTTTTTTGTCTCTGGACCAACAGTTGCTGTTTGGGAGAACTGATTCTTATATCAGCAGAATTAGAATTATAGAATCATAGAGCTGAGATGCCACTGAGGGCCTTTAAAGACTGCCAGAAATAATGCAGCTTGAGTCCATTTTAACTGCCCTTGCTCAGTGTCAGGGTATTGTGAAAATTGTATTTTTTTCTGAGACATTGAGTCTTCTCTGTCAGAGAGCTCTGGTGCCATAATAAACTACAGTTCCCATGATTCCCTAGCACTGAGCCAGGGCAGTTAAAGTAGTCTCATGCTGCATTATTTCTGGCAGTCTGTAAAGGCCCCGAGTCTTAGCCCTTGCTCTGTGCAATCTCCAGCTAAAACATCCCCAGCAGATAGCTGTTCAGCCTCTTTATGAAGACATCCAGAGAAGAGACCCTACTACCTGGTTCTAATGCCGAACCAATCTAAGGTCCAAAACATGCTGCAGAAATAATCCAGTTTGAGACCACTTCAACTGCCTTGGCTCAATCCTATGGAATCCTGGGAACGGTAGTTTTGCAAGGCATTTGGTCTTCTGTCGGAGAGCTCTGGTGCAACAATAAACTACAGTTCCTAGGATTCCCTAGCACTAAGCCATGGCAGTTAAAGCGGTCTCAAACTGGATATTTCTGCCATGTGTTTTGGACCTTTGTCCCATCAGACTTGGTGTCCATGACCTACCATTGCCTGTCACTGCCTTTGCTAAGTCTCACTGAATTAAATTAGACTGCAAGTATGCATGAATAAAATTGCTGAATGCTAGAATAGCAACAGAGCACTACTTCATTCAACACCTATTTATATGCCACTTATCAAAAAGGTTCAGAGTAGGTTACACAGAAAATCATATAATTAAATCATCTAATTCAAACAAGAGAGTGCCCTTACTAGCCAAGGGTTTCTGGAAGTTGTAGTCCAAAAAATAACTTTTCCAAGCTCTGTACACAAAGAAAACCAACAAAGCTATAGCAAGTCAGCAGAGCAGATAAAAAATGAATCCTGTAAAAATCAATTATATAAGAGCAAAATCAGAGACTATCCACCAGAACCATGTCTTTCTGCAAAGTATTAGCATCATCTTTAAATAAATATTATATAATGGTACCAATCCTACAGAAGAAGCTAAAGAACCCCATGGAGCCTACTTTTAAAAGTCATTAATGCAGATTTGATCTTGTGTGCATTCTGGATTTAAGTACCATATACTGGGATGGATAATGTTTGTGTGATAGGACTTTTAAATTAAAAAAAAATCCTGTTTTTCTAATCCTCCCAAATTTCATTGACATAAAGACTGCTGGCAGACAAAACAATCACTGTGTTCTTGACTACTGTTTTCACATTTCTAATTTTAAAAATATTTATTTATTCATGCTCTTCCTTTCCCCACCACTGAAAAGCAGCTTATCTCAAATACAAACCCAGGAGAAAAAGTAGACCAAGGCTAAAAGCAGTCCCCTAACAGAGGACATCCAGCATGGTGTAAATAGTGGTTAGAGCACTAGGCTGAGAATCTGGAGACCAGGGTTTGATTCCCAACTCAGCCATTAAACCCACTGGGTGTTCTAGGGCCTGTCACACTCTCTCAGCCTCAGAGAAAGGCCATGACAAACCACCTTTGAACAAATCTTGCCAATAAATCCCCATGATAAGTTTGCCTTAGGTTCGCCGTAAGTCAGAAAAAGGGTGACCAGATGCCCTAACCACAAAGGAGGACAAGGCACCACATAATGTAGGTCATTCAAGAAAAAATGGAGCATGTGACTAAATAAAAACCAAAAGCACTCATCTAAATGTAAATTAATGCTTCTCAGTCATGCTCAAAATGGAGGGCATTTTGAAACTCCTCCTGGACAGAAGGTTGGAACAGAGGACATGTTCTAGAACAGAGGACATTGGTCACCCTGGTCGGAAATAACTGAAGGTACACAACAAAAAAAGAGGAGAACTGGTGTAATGTAGTGGTTTGAGTGTTGGACTACAACTCTGGAGACCAGGGTTCAAATCCCAGCTGGGCCATGGAAACCCACTGGGTGACCTTGGGCAAGTCACACTCTCTCATCCTCAGAGGAAGGCAAAGGCAAACCCCCTTTGAACAAATCTGGCCACAAGTCAGAAGCAACTTGAAGGCAGAAGGACAACAACAAAAGAGAGGAGAGGCAGTGTGATGTAGTGATTTGAGCATAGTACTATGACTCTGGAACAGATCACAGAATCATAGAATCATAAAGTTGGAAGAGACCACAAGGGCCATCC